GTCAAATTGTTAATTTTTTGGGTTTTTGGGAACGGTTTAAAATTTTTTCCTTTATTTTTAGGGGAAAAAAATTAATTCGATAAGGGTTGATTCGATTTAAAGGCTAGCTCTCTGGAACGATTAACCGTTGGTTAGAGCCCCACTGAAATTAAAATTGCTGACGTGGACCCCCCTACGATGGCATCGCTAGCGATTTTTCCGCAAAACGTTTACTTTTATCGCAAATTTTTCCCCCGCAACGTTAAAAAACCCCGCTACCTTTTTTTTTCGTCCGAACGCGTCAATGTGCCCTCAGCCGCCTCACATGTCCCGCTCCGCCCCCATTTTTTTACCGCCGCCCCCCGGGGTAACACCCAAAAAATCCTGGGAATATTTGTATTTTACGATTTTTCGGTGCTTTTTCGGGGAAAATAAGTGCCCAGGGCCCCCCAAGAAAGCTTCTAGTCCCAAACCCTACACCTCAAAGGGAAAAATTTTACTATAGAGTTTTAAGAAAGAGAATTGAAAAGTATAAAGGGGAGTGAGATAGCCCCCCTAGCAAGCTTACAAAAAAACCCCCAATCAACCATCGTATTTTTGTGGCCCAAAAAAGACAATCAAGGAAGTGTTTTCCCAAAGGTTTCAACTGTGTTTTGAAACAAGATCGAAATTGGGGAAGATTTTGAGAGACTCTTTTTGGTGGGGATAAATGAAAAAAGATAGCAGGAGATAGCGTCCTAAAGCATTTGTGAAAAGGTGGGAAGTTGCTTCGTTTTTAATAAAAAAAACCCCGCAACTAGTTGTGGGGGGGATTAACCGCCAAAGGGTTTGGTTTGGGGGTTTAAAAGGGGTTTTCACCCCTATTATAACTTTAAAACTCCATTACCCAAACGGTTTTTATTTTTTTTTTAATTTTCGGGTTTTACAAAAAAACAAACCCCTAACCCCAATTTTTTAATTTTTAAAAACCCCCTTTTTTAAATAATGCCAAGCAACCACATTACTTCAAAGGAAAACATCCCAACAAATATAAAGACGGATTTGGAAAACCAATCACTGATTGCAAAGTCCCAAATTAGGATCACTTGAAAACTCCCGACGCGGGGCAAAAATTCCCAAGGTAATTTGTGTGTGCTTGGAGGGAAAAACGTAGGCTTGGGTCACAGGAATTTTTTTTTTAAAACCCTGGTTCCCACCATGCTTTGCCCCCAAAGGGAAAAAATTCCCTAACGAAAAAAAAATTTAAATTTAAGTGCCTCCGGGGTGTTGCAATGCCCCGGTCACCCCTACAGAGTGTCAGAGCGACTTTTGGGGACTAGCTTCATTAAGGTAAATTTTTCCCTCCCTAATACCACCCCCTCCGCACCCCAATGGCCCAGCGGGTTTTTTCCAACTTAAAGAAACTGTACACAAAAGCTCTGTTTAAAAAGGTGCTTTGTAATGCCCTCAGAAAACTCAACTGACTCTAAGAGGTTTGGGAGACACTTTAATATCCTCAATTGTGTAAAATTAAAGGTAAGCTTGGGAGGAATTTCAAAGGGGGCCCTTGAACCTGCTTGGAAAAACTGTGGCCAAATGTGTAGACAAAAGGGATTTTGAAGGGTTTGAGGCAACCTGGAATTCCTGTGCCGTTGGGAATCCATTGTGGCATTGGGAAAGTCCTGGGGTTGGGGGTTTAGGGGGGGATGTGGAAGAGGGGGTGGGGGAGGAGGACAATGAAAAACAAACCATGATGAGTGCTAGTAAATTTAAACGCAAGGGGCCACATAGGAAATTGCTTGGGAGGAGGGGAGAGAGAAATTGAAGAAAGTTGCCTACTTCAAAGTTTAAGGAAATCGTAAAAAGTGGTTGGTGCAAACTTCTGGATAAAAAATCCCCTCACACAGCTTTGCAAGCTGTGGGGTTTATTACACGACAATGTTGTGAAACCTTTTGGGAAGTCATAAGGAAAAAAGAGGTAAGGCCCCGGACAATATCTTGTGCGAAGAAGTCCTGACTCTGAACGGCCCTAGTGGCATTAAAAGAAGAAGGGGTAACCCCGAAAAAGGACTTTTAAAATCAAGTCCTAAAGGAAGGGGATTCCCCCTTCTAAACACTAACACACTCTTCCCCCCCCTCCCATCCCTCAATCTCACCAATCTTCAAAAAAGTAAGGTCATTTAATTGTGCATGCCTTTTTTGTTTGTGTGTATTAAATTTCATTATGTGGGAAAAAAAAATTTTTTCTATTTTTTGGGGTCTTGCACGGATTAATTTTAAAATTTTCCTTTTTTCTTTTGGGGGGAAATTGATTCGCATAACATTATTTTGCATAAAAGTGAGCCCCTTGCAGGATTAAAAAACGTTAACGGGGTCCCTGTATTAGCAGAAAACCATAAAGTGGAAAAGGTTAAGCGGGGCCCTACTGTATTAATTTTGTTTAAAGTATTCGTTAATTAAATAAAAAAACAATAAAAATTATGATAGGAATGAAGTGTTACTGAAGTGATAAATATGAGGAGTTTTTTCGGCTCCTTAACCCCTTTGACTGTCGCAACCCCAATCCGAGGTTCTTTGGTGTCGCAAAATTTTAAAAAAAAAATTTTTTTCTTTGAAAAGTGAGATTTTCCCGATGAAAGAACCAAAAACGAAAATTTGATGGAAAACTGACGGAAATTACCTCTCGCAATTAGGACCTCGGCGTATTTAAAAAACGGCAAAATTTTGCCCCCTTTTGAGCCCTATTTTCGGGTAAAATTTCCTTATTCCGTCAACCAAACTATAGCCATTTCTTCGAACTCTTTTTTTCCATCAATTGAGTACAAGAAAAAGCCCATTTACCGTTTAATACCCAATAACATGGTCAGAAATTTGCAATTTGGCCAATTTTCCCAAAAAATTAAAAAAAAAGACAATTTTTAAAAAAAGGCCAGAATGAACAATGCAGACATTCCCGGGCCTAAAAAACATTTTTTTTTGTTTATCGTCAGTCTCCCGGCCCTCTGATTTACTCTTTCTTTCTATTTTTGAAATTTTTATTCAAACAAAAAAAACAGAAAATTTCTGTTTTTTGCAGATCTGCAAAAATTGTAAAAATTGTAAAAATTTCATCAACCCATTCATTTATGCATTTAGAATGGCATTTGGACATTTTTTGGACAATGACTCATTTGTTTACTTTCGAAAAAGGGAAAAAAAAAAATTTCCTGCACTTTGTGCTCCTTTCCAGGTTTTTTTTATAGTAAAATTTTAACAAAAAAACCTCTATTTCTATAATAAGTTTTCCTTTTTCAATGAGACCCAAAAAAACGAGAATCAGCCATAAAAAACTTACGAAAATAGACCACAAAATCGGCATTTTAATTAAAAAAAAAAAGGTCGAGTTTTTTTTTCTCATTACCCCGCGGGGTCCAGGATTTTTTTTTTATGTGCACCTGACCCACAGACCCATTCTTCACATGTGGGGCCCTTTCCCGCTTTCTCCTGCTGATTTGAAGCCGCTGAATTTATGGTATATATATTAAACACGGACCTCATAAAGAAATATATGGTGGACGCAAAGGGTTAAGTGGTCACTTAAGCCCCCAAATATGAGAACCCCCCCAAATTGTTTAACTGTTTGTTTATAAAAAATTTGGGAATTGTGCATTATCTTTAAAGCTTGACTCTTTGCTACCTGGTAAACATAATTTTTTTTTAAATTTTTTATATTTTTTTGAGTATTTTTTTTTTTAATGCACGGGACTGAGATTGCTGGTATTTTTTTGAAAATAATTTTTTTTGTCAGTGTGTGGGGTTTGGGGCAGCGCAGTCAACAGTAATCATATATTGGGGTTAATGCGGGGGTTTCCCCAAACCCTTTTTTTTCCCCGTACCCCTTGGGATTTGCTTTTCCCTGTCCAAAAAATTAAGGATCAAAAATTTATAATGGCAGGAGGCAGCTCAGATGAAAATTCGCACACACACTAGCTATTAAATCTGCACCAGATTCACCTTAATCCAGCAAATATTAGAGCCTACAAGACTAGAAAATACGCTGGACCTCATCTTCACTAATATGTACATGTATGCCAGGTTGGGATCCCCTCCTCTAATGTTAAAATTTTATCTCTGCTAGTGTAATGGCTGACATCGGTCAGCTATTGCTGTACTTAAATACATACATGTTATTGTAAATATTCCCAAGCTATGTTTTGCTAATTTTTTTTTTTATATTTTTATGGGTTTTTGCTCATTCATCAGCATGATAAAGGGCTTATTAATGTTTGTTGTTGTTTTATACCTTACCTTTGATATGCCTTTGAAGAGTTATGAGAGTAACTACTCTTGGAGCTCAGCCATGGGCCAGGCTCATCTGGTGCTTGCCTGGTCAACCAAGCTGTTCCTGCTGGAGGCCCACTGCCCCACATATCCACCACAACCTGGTTGATCTAGCACCTGGTGAAGATACTTGTCCAGTTTCCTCTTGAAGGCTTGTACACTTGTTTCTGCCATGTTTCTGATATCTTCTGGTAAGATGTTGAATAGTCTGGGACCCCAGGTGTTGATACAGTGTTCCCTTATTGTCCCCACCGCACCCCTGCTCCTCACTGGGTTTATTTTACACTTTATCCCATATCTTTCACTCAAGTATGTTATGGCAGTGTGCAGATTTGGGACCAAGCCCTCGAGTGCCTTCCAGGTATATATTATCATGCATCTCTCTCTCCTCTGCTCCAATGAGTACATATTCAAGATTTGCAGGCATTCCCAGTAATTTAGGTGCTTTATTGGCTCAGTGTGAGCCGTAAACGATCTCTGTATTTGTTCCTGCACTGATATATCTCCTGCTTTGAACGGGGCCGTCAGCACTGAGCAATATTCTAAATGAGGGAGCACTAGCGATTTGAAGAGTGTGACCTCTGGCATTATTTCCCTTGTTTTGAAAGTTCTCAATACCCACCCTGTCATCTTCCTGGCTGTTGTGATCTTTGTCTTGTTGTGGTCCTTAAAAGAAAAGTCAACTGATATAATTATTATTCAGAGTAATTTGTTGTTTTCAGATGGTTGCTGCTTCCAGATTCATCGTTCTCCTGCTCTTCTACGCCTTGCTGCACATCAACCACTGGTGGATGGTTGCTGTAAGTTTGTTCCCTTCTTTTATACTGAAGCACTGTACATGGTTAAGCCTTTCTTATAGCCCGAGTATTATTACTCACAATGACCTTTATTCTCTATCTCAGTAAAGCTGGTCACTCATGTTGGCCTTTATTCTCTCTCAGTAAAGCTAGTTGCTCAGGCTGACCTTTATTCTCTTTTTCAGTAAAGCTGGTAACTCAGGATGAAATTTATTCTTTCTCTTAGTAAAGTTGGTCACTCAGGATGAGGGACTTATCTCATGTGTTTTCCTTGCTAAGCTCATGTACTCTCCTCACTAAGCTCATGTATTCTCATATGCTTATGTATTCTCCTCACTAAGCTCATGTACTCTCCTCACTCTGCTCATGTACTCTCCTCACTCAGCTCATGTACTCTCCTCACTCAGCTCATGTATTCTTCTCACTTAGCTTATGTACTTTTTTCACTAAGCTTGTGTATTTTTTTCACTAGTTTCATGTACTCTCTTCACTAAGCTCATGTTATCTCCACATTTAGCTCATATTCTCTTCTCACTAAGCTCATGTACTCTCCTCACTCAACTCATGTACTCTCCACACTCAGCTCATGTAATCTTCTCACTTAGCTTATGTACTCTTTTTGCTAAGCTTGTGTATTTTTCTCAATAATCTCATGTACTGTCTTCACGAAGCTCATGTTATCTTCACATTTAGCTCATATTCTCTTCTCACTAAGCTCATGTACTCTCCTCACTCAGCTCATGTACTCCTTTTTTCAGATAACCACTGCTGGTAGCTGTGCATTTTTCATCAGCAAGAGTTTAATGTATAAGGTAGAGTAGCTGTTACTGTTAGTGACAAATGAGGGTGTGGCTGAGAGCAAGGGGTGTGGCTGAGAGCGAGGGGTGTGGCTGAGAGCGAGGGGTGTGGCTGAGAGCGAGGGGTGTGGCTGAGAGCGAGGGGTGTAGCTGAGAGCGAGGGGTGTGGCTGAGAGCGAGGGGTGTAGCTGAGAGCGAGGGGTGTGGCTGAGAGCGAGGGTGGGGGCTGAGAGCGAGGGTGGGCTAAAGACGAGGGTGTGGCTGAGAGCGAGGGGTGTGGCTGAAGCCAGGGGTTGGCTGAGAGCGGGGGGTGTGGCTGAGAGCGAGGGGTGTGGCTGAGAGCGAGGGGTGTGGCTGAGAGCGAGGGGTGTGGCTGAGAGCAAGGGGTGTGGCTGAGAGCGAGGGGTGTGGCTGAGAGTGAGGGGTGTGGCTGAGAGCGAGGGGTGTGGCTGAGAGCGAGGGGTGTGGCTGAAAGCGAGGGTGTGGCTGAGAGCAAGGGTGTGGCTGAGAGCAAGAGGTGTGGCTGAGAGAGGGATGTGGCTGAAGGGTGTGGCTGAGAGCTGTGGCTTAGAGCTGTGGCTGAGTGAGGGGTGTGGCTGGGGGTGAAGGGTGTGTCTGAGGGGGGGTGGGGATGTGCTGTGGATGAGAGGTGTGGCTGAGTGGGGGGTGTGCTGGGGTGAAGGGTGTGTCTGAGGGGTGGGGGGTTTGTGGCTGTGGATGAAGGTGTGGCTGAGTGAGGGTGTGGCTGTGGGTGAAGGGTGTGCTGAGGGTGTGGGGATGTGGCTGGGGAAATGAGAGCTGTGGCTGAGTGAGGGGTGTGCTGGGGGTGAAGGGGTGTGTCTGAGGGGTGGGGGATGGGGCTGTGATGAGAGGTGTGGCTGAGTGAGGTGTGGCTGTGGGTGAAGGGTGTGTCTGAGGGGTGTGGGGATGTGGCTGTGGATGAGAGGTGTGGCTGAGTGAGGGGTGTGGCTGTGGATGAGGGTGTGTCTGAGGGGTGTGGGGATGTGGCTGTGGATGAGAGGTGTGGCTGATGGATATACAGTACAATACAAGGTTATTTCAACATATATATATTGTTTATACAGAAATGGGCAACAGTTGAAATCATATTGAAAGTCCCAGAGTTGTGCAGAACATTTCTGGCAAGCTGAAGCCTAACTTAATGCACAACGACATACCTCTGAACATGATTATAAGAAATAATTAGTTGGTTTATAGGTAGTAGGTTGGTAGACAGCAACCACCCAGAGAGGTACTACTGTCCTGCCGAATGAATGTAAAACGAAAGCCTGTAATTGTTTTACATGATGGATTGCTGTTGTCTTTTTTCTGTCTCATAAACATGCAAGATTTCAGGTACGTCTTGCTACTTCTTACACTTAGGTCACACTACACATACACGTATACAAGCATACAGGCCTCCATCAACATTCGCGTTTTCAACTTTCGCGGGCTTCACACATTTGCGAATTCCCAACTGCCAAATCATATTTAAGTTTCCCGCCACCTACGAGTCCCTACTACCCTCCCTCCAACCCCTGCAACTGGCAGCCAGCCCTCCCACCACTGTGTGATGAGTGTTTTGTTTGTTCATTATTTGCTATTAAACTACAGTATAAATAATGTAAACCCATTCATGACTGCATATTGGAATGGCTATTCGGACAGGTATTGGATGGTGACATCATGTGTTTACTCTTGAACACAGCAAAGAATCAAACATTTCTGCTACTGCTAATAATAGCAACAGTAATAATAATAATAATAATAATAATAATAAATACGATAGAATTGAAGAAGGAAATTGTACAAAAATACGAGGGAGTGGTTGACACATCATCAGTGTGGCTTTGTTTATGCTGGAGTGAGCATTAGTCTCCGTGCTCTTCCAAACATTTCACAATAATTCATTGTGTTTGGTGCTTGTAGATTGAGTGCGCCTGGAGTGGTAGAGGCAGTGGTAGAGGCAGCGGTTGAGGCAGTGGGTGAGGCAGCAATTGTGGCAGTGGGTGAGGCAACAGTTGAGGCAGCAATTGAGGCAGTGGTTGAGGCAGTGGGTGAGGCAGTGGGCAAGGCAGCATTTGAGACAGTGGGTAAGGCAGCGGTTGAGGCAGAGGTTGAGGCAGCGGTTGAGGCAGTTGTTGTGTCGGTGGTTGAGGAAGTGGTATTTAATAACATACATGTTTTTATTTTATTATCGCACTGGCCGATTCCCACCAAGGCAGGGTGGCCCGAAAAAGAAAAACTTTCACCATCATTCGCTCCATCACTGTCTTGCCAGAAGGGTGCTTTACACTACAGTTTTTAAACTGCAACATTAACACCCCTCCTTCAGAGTGCAGGCACTGCACTTCCCATCTCCAGGACTCAAGTCCGGCCTGCCGGTTTCCCTGAATCCCTTCATAAATGTTACTTTGCTCACACTCCAACAGCACGTCAAGTATTAAAAACCATTTGTCTCCATTCACTCCTATCAAACACGCTCACGCATGCCTGCTGGAAGTCCAAGCCCCTGGCACACAAAACCTCTTTTACCCCCTCCCTCCAACCCTTCCTAGGCCGACCCCTACCCGCCTTCCTTCCACTACAGACTGATACACTCTTGAAGTCATTCTGTTTCGCTCCATTCTCTCTACATGTCCGAACCACCTCAACACCCTTTCCTCAGCCCTCTGGACAACAGTTTTGGTAACCCGCACTCCTCCTAACTTCCAAACTACAATTCTCTGCATTATATTCACACCACACATTGCCCTCAGACATACATCTCCACTGCCTCCAGCCTTCTCCTCGCTGCAACATTCCTCACCCACGCTTCACAACCCATATAAGAGCGTTGGTAAAACTATACTCTCATACATTCCCTCTTGCCTCCAAGGACAAAGTTCTTTGTCTCCAAGACTCCTAAGTGCAAACCCCTCACTCTTTTCCCCTCATCAATTCTATGATTCACCTCATCTTTCATAGACCCATCCGCTGACACGTCCACTCCCAAATATCTGAATACGTTCACCTCCTCCATACTCTCTTCCCTCCAATCTGACATTCAATCTTTCATCACCTAATCTTTTTGTTATCCTCATAACCTTACTCTTTCCTGTATTCACCTTTAATTTTCTTTTTTTGCACACCCTACCAAATTCATTTCCCCCAATCTCTGCAGCTTCCCCTTCAGAATCTCCCAAGAGCACAGTGTCCCTCAGCAAAGAGCAGCTGTGACAACTCCCACTTTGTGTGTGATTCTTTTTAAATTTTTTAACTCCACGCCTTTTTGCCAAAAACCCTCGCATTTACTTCTCTTAAAACCCCCCATCAAAAATATATTAAAAAAAACCAAACGGGGGGACATTCCCCTCCTTGTCAAAGGGCCCCATTTTTAAACGGGGAAAAAATTCCCTCTTTCCTACTTACTCAAATTTTAGCCTCACAATCCTCGTAAAACTTTTCACCCCTTTCAGAAACCTACCTCCTACACCATAATTTGAAAACATCTCCCTTTCCCCCCCTTTACCCCAACCCTGCCCAAACCCGCCTTTTTCCAAACCCAAAAAATTTCCCCACAAAGCCCCTCTTTACCCTTTAATCTAAATATGTTCACTTATATGTTTAAAACTGAAAAACACCGGGTCCACACCCCCCCTACCTTTCCTAAAGCCTCCTTGTTCTTTCTGCTATCCAATTCTCCGTCTTCCCTTTTAAAACTTTCAATTATAACTCTACCAAAAAACACTTTCCCAAAGGTACACTAAACAATTTAAATCCCCCAAAATTTTTTGAAACTCTTTTTTAATCCCCTTTCCCTTTTATAAAAAGGGAACTATGCATGCTCCCCTAAAAACCCTAGGTCCCTTTAAACCCTCCCCAAATACATTTTTTAAATAATTGCACCAACCACTCCAAAACTATACCCCCAAACCTGTTTTTAAAACATTTCTATTTTTACCCCAAATAAATTTCCCCGGCTGCCTTCCCCCCTTTTCATTTTACCTATTTCCCACAAATTTCCCCCCACCCAAACGGCCCTTTTCCCCCTTCACTCCTACAAGAGTTTTTTCCCTCCTTCCCCTAAAACACGAAATCAAGCTTCCCTATCTTCATCAACATTTAAAAATTTCCCCCTAAAAATATTCCCTCCATCTTCCCCAAATACCCCTAACTCTCCATTTAATAACTCCCCTTTCTCCATTTTTAACTGAAAAAACCCCTTTTTTCTCTAGGCTTTTTTTAAACTTGTTAATCTCACTCCAAAACTTTTTTTTATTTTCAAAAAAATTTGTTGAAAACCATCTCCCCCATTCTCTAAATTTGTTTCTCTTTTTCTTTTGCTTCACCACTCCTTAACCTCTCCTTTTTCCCCCAAAAATACCCCCCCCTCCTTGCATAAATTCTACTTTTAAAAACTTTTTCAAAATGCTAACTTTTTCCCCCTTAAAAAAACTCTCTTTACATCATTTTCCCCCAACCAATCACCCCCTTTTTCCCCCCCTGCCCCCCTTTTTCCCCTGTAACCAAAAAAAACTTCTGCTGAAAAACCTAACACTACATTTTTAAAAACCTACCCCAAAACCTCTTCGACCCCATTGCCTAGCCTAAATTAGCCCACTTTTCCTCCAATAGCTTTTTAAAAACTTACCCTAACTGCCCCCCTTTTTTTTAGTTTAAAACCCCTTTCACCTCTCTCTTCCCTGATGTTTTCTATTCTCCTTGACCCCCACAAACCTTTTACTCTCAGTTTACAAACAAAAAGTGTTTCTGAAAAACTTGGCCCCCATAAACATGTAAAACCCATAAACACCTCCAAAAATTTTTTTATCAAACCAATAAAATTAACCCCAACAAACACTGTCTTTTCGCCCTAAAACCCAAATCTGAAAACCCTTTTTTATCCTTTTTTTTTCTAAAAAATTTATTCCCTATAACAAAAACCCCCTTTCTATACAAAGTTCAAAAAAGGGCCCCCTTTAACATTTCACCGGCACCCCCCAAAAACTTACCTACCACACCTTCTCAAAAAAGTTTCTCCTATTTTTAGCATTCAGG